ACCGCCGCCTCCCGGCGCGCCCGCGCGGCACTGCGCCCAAGCCTCGGCTTGCCGGTACAGGTTGAAGAGAGGGTCGGGCAGCCGGCTGCAGAGCGCCTCGGCCGCGGCGTCGGCAGGCGAGATCGCCGGCGCGCCCAGTCCCTTGCGCAGCGCGTCTGCGGCGAAGACTACGGACTCGAGCTGCGCGCGCGACGCCGCCTGTGGGTGGGTGGGTGGGTGGGTCATCGGGCAGATCGGTGGGTGGGCCAGTGGGTGGGTGGGCCAGTAGGCGGGTGGGTGGGTGGGTAGATCGGTGGGTTCGGTCAGTGGGTGGATAGGTGGGTCGGTTCCGCCTCTGCCGAGCGTTGCGCCGTCGCCGCACCGCGCCGCCGCCGCATCTCGAGCTGCGCCTCCTCGCGCTCCGCCGCGAGGCGCGCGCGCTCCCCATGCTCCGCCGCCAGGCGCCGCAGCATCGAGCCGTGCCCGTCCGCCGTCGCGGGTGCCGCGCTGCCCCCCGCCCCACTGGCCTCGGCCTCCTCCGCCGTCAGCAGCCCGTCGGGTAGCGCGAGGGCCGCAGCCCCGGAGCGCGAGGCGGTGATGCCCGCGACGCAGCGCGCCTTGCGGTAGCGAAGCGCGAGCAGCTCCTCCTCCGCAGACTCGACCCGGGCGCGGGCGCCGTCGGCGTCGAGCTTCGGTGCAACTCCCTCGACCAGCGCCGAGGTCTCGTCGGCGCGCAGCGCGACAATGAGCGCGGCTCCTCTGGCCGCCACCGTGGCGACGTCCCGTCCGCCGGCCTTGGCCGCCATGAGCTCGTCCAGGTGCGCTCGGAACGCCTCGGAAGCTGGCGTCGCCGCCATGTCGGTGCGGCTCCCTGAAGAAGAATTTTACCATGCAAGCCCCTCTCACAGCAGACTGGCTCGGACTGGCACTACAAATGGCACAGCAGGCGACGGCCCCTTACGGGTCGTCAAAGAGGCCGGCGTACTCCTCCGGCCGCTCCTCCCCCTCCCATCCTCCCCGGGCTCTGGCTCCTCCTCCTTCGCCCGCGCCCTCGCCCCCCGCCGGCGGCGATTCCGTGCGGCCGTCGCCCCCGCCCCCTCCCCGCCCCCATCACGGCCGGAGCCGTACCACCCAGCGCGCACGAGGAACGAGGACTGAGCCTCAACCTCGTCCAACCTCACCGCCTTCACGGCGGCGTCGCACGCCTCAGCCCGCGAAGCGCCAGCAGCATGCGCCGCGGCGTACGCCGCGTCGCCTACCGCCTGCCTCGCGAGAGACGCGGCGCGCCATTCGTCCTCCAGCGCCGCCGAGCCCCACGTAGGGTCTCCCGCAAACCAGTCCACGCCCTCCTCCCCCCCGTCCGAGTCGCCATCCGAGCTTAGCTCGCCCTCGCCCTCGCCCTCGCCTCGCGCCTCGCCGCTCCCATCCTGCGGCTGCGCCACGCCCCGCGCCTCGCAGCAGCCCCATCCTCGGCAGAGCCCGCCGCACATGCCATGCGCGACGTATGCCTGGCGCAGGCCAGGCACCTCCCACCCATCGTCAGTGGTGGCGAGATAGGGCGCCGCGCAGCGGCCTGTCGAGTTAGCCCACCGCCACGCGCCCGCCCGCCACAACTCGCCCGCCGACCCGGGCCGCCCGCAGAGGCAGCACGGCTCGACGACGTTGAGCCACTGCCCGACGTTTAGCTGCGCCCAATGCGCCCGCCACCACGCCGCCCCGCCGCGGCGCCGCCAGCTTTCATGTTCCGGATGGTCGGCACTAGGAAAAGAAGAAACCTGAGCGCCTGCTGCGCGCGACTCGAGGTCGCGCGGCTCAGTGCGGGCGGTCATGGAGGCCTCACCTTCAAGAAGGGAGGCCGTGTGGACCTCTCGGGAACAATCGGGCGACACGGCGCCGCTCTCCTCCCCCTCCGCCGGCGCCGCGCCGCCGGGGAATTCCTCCTCCATTGGGTCTGACCCAATGGTCAGACCCGCCTCCGCGGCCTGCGCCCCCGCAGGCGCCGCGCTCCGCGCGCAGGGTGCGGTCGCCGCCGCGGCCTCCGCCGCCAGCCGCCGCCCCTCCTCGCCGTCCACCACCGCCGCGCTCGTACCAGCGCTGGCGGTGGGGAGGCGGGGTCCAAGCTGCTCCTCAGAGAGGGAAGCAGCAGCAGCTGCTGCCTCCTCCTCGTCGGAGGTGTAAGCCTCGCCGCCGCGCGTGGCGCCGAGGCCGCGCCCGCCAGCGGCGGCCGCGCCGCCGCTCGCCTGCGCGCCAGCCGCAGGCCCAGGCGGGCCGGCGACGGAGAGCGAGGCAAAGGCAGCTGCGAGTGCTGCTGCCGCGGCCTCTGCGCTGCGCAGCGTCTTGTCGGGCAGCACGCGCTCGCAGAGCGCGAGCGCGGCGGGCGAGAAGCCGAGAGCCGTCGCGCTCGTGCCGCCTTGGATCGCAGTCAGCAGCTCCGCCACGTTGCCCACGCCCTGTTGCAGCATCTTGTCCTGCAGCATGTCCGTGTTATGCGCAGAGACGTGGGCGCGCGCCGCGAGAGCCGCGATGCTCTCGTCGAGGTTGATGGTCGGCTGCGCGGCCGCCATCGGGAGCGAGGCCGCGGGCGTGACCCGGGCCTCGCTGAGCTTGGCCGCTACGAGCGCCGAGAGGGAGAGGAGCGCGGCCGGCGCCACAGAACGCCGTCGTGAAAAGAATATACTGCCCGGCCCCCTTCTTTTGCTTGTTTTTTTGTTTTTTCTTTTGCGAAGCGACGGAGGGGGGGGCGGGCGGGCGCTAACTATGGGCAACTACATGCCGGAGGTTCAACGACGACTACTTACTCGCCGCCTGGGTCGTTTGGGGCGCGCGGCTCCGTCGAGGACCGGGCGCGCCCCTTACCCGGCGCGGCGTAGGTCCCACTCTGACGTATAGAGGGGAGGCACGGACAACGGCCCAATTCATCAATTCCACTCATCTTCTGGTGCCTAGCCCCGTGCAGCGGCGGTCCGGCAGGCTGCCCCCAAGGCCCCCTGGGCCGCTGCGGGTTTTGGAGTTATGCTTTGGCACAGCTTCGGCGATGGCGGCCCCTCTCTGGGGCTTGCATAGGCGGGGAGTCTCCCCCGCTGGTCTCCTCATTCCTTTTTTTCTTTTTCTTTTGAGCTGGGTGTGCCGCCGCGCGGCGCTCATCGTGTCCTGACAGCGTCGCCGACGCCACCTGCCGCTCGCCGCTGCCTTGCACTTCCCTGCCATCGGGCAAACACACACACACACACACACACACCAGCACACACACATTATTAATGATCGAGTAATAATGATAATTATTAATCCTCGGGCGGCGGCGCGGCGCGGAGGCGGGCGGCGCGAGGCGGCGGCGCGGCGAGGCAGCGGGCGACCTCCGTCATAGTGCCACGACGTGTGGCCTAGAATTAGCACACGCGCCTCTGCTCGCATACACTCATACAATGAATTGTCATCACCCGTGAGTGCGAGTTAGGGCTAGCAGTAGGCAGCTAGCCTGTGAGGAGGGCGTCCATAGACGCCTCACATGACCCCACACACGGTCTCGTCCGTGCCTCGCCGGCTGGCGAGATTGCTAGAGGCGGAGCAAGCCTGCTCTAGCCTCGCATGTTACTGTCTGTTGTGATGTTGTGATGTTGTGCCCTTGTTTGTGTCCTTTGGCACAGTTGAGTGCTGGGGGGGGCGACAGTGAGGATGTGGCCCTGAGTTATGTGTACGCCTACTCAGGGTGTGTGGCAGCCAGCTGGCTGTGTGTCTTGTGAGCCTGTTTGTGTCTGTGTGTCGTAGAGCTGTTTAACATTAACTTTTGGCCTAACAGTTGCGCTAGTGTTGGCTGAAATCCTTAACGTTGTTCAAGTGTTCACCCCAGCCCAAGCTGTTAACGTTGTTCAAGTGTTACTGTTTGTTACTGTTGTTACTGTTGTTCAGCAGCCAGCAAGCAGAAACTGCCAGAAAACCCGGGTAAAACCCGAAAAAACCTGGGTTTTCCCAGGTATTTTCGGGTATTACCATCGTATTACCCTCACTGGACGCCGGAGATCTTAGGGGACCCCTAGGCTTAAAAGGGTGGGCCCTGGGGCGCCTGCGGCTTAAACGGCTTAAAGCGGGCCATGGCCCATTTTAAGGCTGCCTGGGCCGCCGATTCCTTAAACGGTCTTAAACGCTTAAACGGTGCGGGAGAGCTCCCGAGGTCGATGGTCTGGGAGGCTCCCGGTAGACGCCGGAGGCCGGGAAGCTGGCTACAGTCAGCTAGCACGCGCCCCCTATGCGAGTATGGCTCCTGCCAGTGCAACAGACTTACAGATGTGTCTTCAGAGGCGGGTTTGTGCCTAATAACGGCAGTATTGGAGAAAACGGCGCGGAACCCAGCGACGCATGCCGGCGAGGCCGATTTTCTTAAACGGTCTTAAAAGAGGGATCCCCCGTGCCTGCAATCTCTTAAATGGCAGGTTAAGCCCCCAAACCTCCTCGTTTCTTAAAAGGTCTTAAAAAAATCCGGCCCTCAGAACCCTAGGGGTCCCCTAAGCCGGAGATCGTCGTGGGTCACTGGCAGGCCTTCCTTATTGTTGTTCAGCCGGCCTAACGTTAGCCACTGTTGTTGGGGAGCTTCACTGTTGTTCTGTTGTTACTGTTAACACTAGCAACACTGTTCAGCTCCCAACGTTAAACAGCTCTAGTGTGTCGCTGAGCGCTCTCGTGCGTGCCGTCATCATCTGTCCAGCGTCCACCCATACCGCGTTGGTGTCCAATCCGAGCCTGGCTGTTCTTCACCTTTCTACCTAACCTAACTGTGAGATGGGTAAAAAGGAACAGGTCCCCGCCCTTGCGATCAATGCGATCTTTGTGCAGGGTCGTTCTTTGTGGGTGTGGCTGTGCGTGTGGTCGGCGACTAGCCGGGGTCGTCCAATTCACAGCTCACAGGAATATGTTTCCGTAAACGTAGTCGTGGCCCCCGCTACATCGCAGTGCAACTGGGTAGCGGGGGCTAAAAAGGAAATGAGAGTACCCGGCTGCCATTCCTCCTCCCCGGGTACCATTCCTCGTCAGCTGCGTCCGCGCGCCCCGCCTGGCCCCCACGAGTTCAGGGCGAGCGGGTGCGGTGGAGCGCGCACTCCGCGACGCACGTATCGCGCCACGAGCCAGTCTTCGGCCCGGCGCATTGCCTGGGCGACGCGGTTGTCGCCTTCCGTCGTGAGCTGCTGCGTGTGCACCGTCAGCATGCCGTGCATGTTTCCAAAGACGACGTCGGTCAGGTAGCGGTCGCCCACCATGAGCAGCGCCGTGCCGTCACACTGGAAGTGACGCTGCACGCTCTCGATCCCGCGCGGCTTCTTGTGCCGCCGTCGCAGCACGTGCACGCCAAGCGCCGCCTCCAGCGCGTCCGCAGCGACACCGCCGGGGTCGTCTGGCGTCCCAGCAGAGTTGCTCAGCACCGCCACGCGCTCGGCGCCGAAGGTCTCGACGCACCTCCGCAGCGAGCCCGCCAGGCGCGGGTGCACCTCGTCGGAGTAGGGCGCAGTCAGCGTGTTGTCCTTGTCGAAGATGACGCCGTGGCAGCCCGCCTCGCGCAGCTCCGCAAAGTCAAGCTCGCTGATGTCGCGGACCCGCTGGTGCGGCAGCGCGAGAGCCGGCTCGCGGAGGATGACCCGGGCGGTGGTGCGCACCGCGGCGAGATTGAGGGACTGAACCATCGACAGGCGAAGTAATCGGCCGGAGCGCAGAACGGCTTCTGGTTCGCACAAACTCGTTCCCAGGGTTCGGGCTCCCAGCGCGCAGAGGGCCCCCCGGAGGGATGCTCAACCGCTCCACGCCACGCCGCTTGCGGCGGTCCTATTCCCAGCTCCGCTGAGGGCTGGCGAGGTACTCCCACGCCTGTCGGGGTTTTTGTCTGGCCGAGTCAACCCGAGAGCCTCGGCGAGACTGCGTCAGCTGTTCCCACAGCTCCAGCCCACAGCAGGCTGGAAGTACCTCGCCAGGCTGACCGTGCGTTATTCTCGTTGTTTTGTCGCTGCCTCCGCTCGCCACCTCACGCTCCGTAGTCCGGCCATGGCCAGTACCCCGCGTCTCAGTGAGACGCGTGGTACCATCCAACTCCGGTCGATGGGCTCGAATGCGCTCAGCCTCAGGAGGGACAAAACCACGCGAATTCTGCACGCCTCGCTGCGCCGCTGGCTTGACTGAATCAGGCAGCAGCAGGCTGCTGCTGCTGCCACAGCAGCAGTCTGCTGCGGCCCCATTACGCAAGTTAATGACTAGCAGCACTGCCGGGGGCATACGAGCCGCCAGAGCCGGTGTGCGGCTGTGCACTGCCACCTGCCCGCGGCTACGCACAATGCGCGCTCGCATTAGATGAGCCCTGCTGATGGACCTGCGTCGCCTAGCTGCACGAGAGCAATGCCGTAGGCGGCGGCCGTAGCATACACTGCGAGCACACTCGGTGCAGCTGCGAGGTGCAGCAAGAGCACGTCGTTCCTGCCTCTGATGCCACTCTCGCGGCTTGTAGCGCGTCACTCGCGCATGCTCTCCAGGAGCTATGGCGGGCGCGTGTGTGGGGCTGTAGCCTGTGTTTGGCCGGTTCTGAACCGTTTACTATCAGCACCATGCCTGGGCCACAAGAATCCGCACACGGGGAGCGGCTCAGGGGCCCAGTAAGCCGCGGAATCGCCAAATGTCCCAACCCGTGCCACCCAGAGGGCCGGACCTAGTCTGCCCGAATTCTTTTCTTAGTGCCAATGCGCGTCAGTCCCGTGCCTAGTGCTGTGCGAGGGAGTTTTCGTAAAATTCTTTTCTTCCCCAAAGCTAGGGGGTGGACAGCGTCCTAATCTTAACTCTGAGGATTCAGGATTGAGGGCTTGCTTCAGTGAGGCCAAAGTGAGTTTATGGATGTGTGAGAACGGTACGGGACACGAGGAGGCACGCGGACCGACTCGTCGGTGACTCTGCTGCACGCCGTTTTAGAATTTTTCTCAGCGTGAGCGAGACGTGGGAGGAGTGCCGCCGTCGGGTAGGACGGGTCGGCCCGGAGAGCGGAGTATCAGAGTAGCCGTCGTGGTCGCGGCGAGCAGTGCCGGCATGAGTGCCGGCCACTCCGGCGCCGCGTCGGCAACATGGGAGCATGTCCACCGCCACTTCGCGGTCGCAGCGCTCTTGTCGCCCAAAACGCCGCCTATCCCTCTGGCGGGACAAAGTCGCCTCGCATGTCGATTTTGACTCGACGGGCGCATGGCACAGGCAACACGTCTCCATGCGCCCGTCAAGTCGGAGCCAGTCTGCGGCGACCACAGCGCTCACCGCAGGGATAGGCGAGCTTTTCAGAGTCAAGCGATTGCGCGAAATCCCAGAGTGGTGGATTTTGGGGCGCTGTCCACCCCCTACCAAAGCGGCCGCCAGCTGTCATGCTCATGTGACGGCCGCTATAGCCGCTTCTGATGTCTCTTCTTCGGCTGCGGCCTCGCCTCCGCTCCACCTTCGACTGGTACCGACAAAACAACGCCATTCGCTCTCACCTGGCAACCCTGTCTGCACGTCTCGCGCGCGCGTGAACAGGGCCGTCGTCCAAAACCCCCAAAATTGAAGTCGACCGCCCAAATCTGCCCCCCCCCCCCCCCCCAAAAACGTACTTAAACAACCATAGAGATCAGTTTCCAGGGGCGATTTGGGGAGGGCGCGAGCGGGAGACTTTTCCGGGCGGTCGAAATACGTTTTGAAGGAGGGAACGACTCCGCCGAGTCGACAAAACACCTGGCAACCCTGTCACTCTGCACGTCTCGCGCGCGCGTGAACCCGTGAACAGGGCAACAGTCTCCAGGGGCCCATAAACTTCAGTCTCCAGGGGCTGCAGGCCCCAAATGATGTTTAGAGTTGTTTGGTATTGCTAAACCTGTCCCAAGCTCCCAACACAACACCTCAAGAAAAAAGTGCTTGAAAATTGCCTCGAGAAGATGGATCAGAGTGACGCCGTTCACATAAACGCACAACCCCGAAATCGCACAGTGACAGTCAGACATGCAACACGGGGTCCCAGGGAAGGCCAGCAGTGAGTGAGTGAGTGAGTCACACACACACACACACACACGGAAGGCAACTTAAAACCTTATGAGTTATGACGCCGTTCACGCAAAAAACACAAATGGGACAGGAACGCCGACGGGTGAGCAAGACCGTCGACATCAGATGCTGAGCACAAGGCACGCATCACTTCGTGGCTTCACCTACGACCCCGCGCCGACCGACTCCCTGGCCGGCGGCCTCCATCCCGCCGGCGTCTACGCGTCCTCCGACTTCTTCACAGAGGATTTTGCTCCGATGTGGGGAGCAGGCCGCGCAGACCTCGCCGAAATGGGCCGGCTGGGAGCCAACGCCGTTCGTCTCTACTCCTGGCGTGCGGGCTCCGGTCGCAATCATGAGCCCTTCCTCGAGGCCGCAGTCGCGGCAGACGTGGCGGTGGCCCTGCCGATCGACAACTGGCTGGTTCACTGCCTGTCGCATGCAGAGGCGCAGCCGTGCCAGGCGTTGGACGCCGCCGCCGCCATCTCCGCCTCCGTGAGCGAGGCGCGGCCGCACGCCTGCGCGATCGCTGCGTGGGTGGTCGGCACCGAGTACGAGAAGTTTGGAGAGGTGCAGCCCACTGTCGCCTCGGTGCAGGAGCGGCAGCGAGACCTCGAACAGGTGTCCCGAGTCCGCCGTAGCGCACGCCCTGCCACCTCCGCGCCGGCCATCGCCTGCCCCCGCGCTCCTGGCGGCCCCTCCTCTCGACACTCCCCTCTCCGACCGCACCTCTGCCACAGTGCCGCCCTCACCATATACAGCCGCCTTCTCCGGCCCACACTCGCGTGTCCTCTGACCGCACCTCTGCCGCCGCCCGCACAGGCGCTCGCCCACCTCCTCGAGGCCGAGGCGGCCGTCGGCTGGCCGCCAGAGCGACTCCCCCCCATCACGGTGCCCGTCAGCCTGGACACGTACCTCTCGGAGCGCTGCCCCACCCTGCGTGGCTCTGCGGCGTGCGAGTTCTACCCGCGGCTCCTCGCCCGCTTCCCACAGCTGGCAGGCCGGCTCCTGCTGGGGCTGCAGGCCTACCTGCCCGGCCCAGACCTGCGCCGCTTGCTGCAGCGGCCGGGCGGCCCCGACAGCCTGCACGCGCAGCTGCTCGCCGCTGGCCTGCCCGAGGTGGCCGCACTGCCGACTCTGCTGACCGAGGTCGGAAGCGTCGAGCCGACCTCTCCGGCGACGGCGGCGGCCGAGCTCGCCGCGGCGTGCTCCGGTGGGTACGAGGGCGCGCCTCTCGGCTGCTTCTTCAACACCTACGTGACGCGGCGCGCGCCGCCCGCGTCGCTCAACTCGCCGCCGGATTGGAGCGCGCACGTGCGGTGGGGCGCGGCCGGCTTCCACTCCGCGGCGTCGGGTGCCGAGTGGAGGCCAACCTCGCACCGTCTCGCGGCATTTGCCTGGGACCCCGCCCCGTCGCCGCAGCCGCGGATCGACCTCCACGCGCTGGGCGGCGGCGCCTTCGGCCAGCTGCCGCAGCGCTCCCGCCCGTGGAACGCGCAGCTGGCCCAAGGAGTGCGCTTTGCGGGCACGAGTGAGTGGCCTAGCTACCTCGACTGGCGGGCGTGGGACTCGTGCCAGGGCTGCCGCTCCGCGTCGGAGCACATCAGCTTCGACAGCTCCGCCTCCTCCTTCCAGGTGCAGGGCGATTGGATGCGCATCTCGAGCGAGCGTGGCGACGCCGGCGCGACCCTCTCAGGGGCAGATTCGGCCTGGCACTGGTTTAACCCGCCTCGCGATGGCACGGACGACGCGCCGCTCGAGATCGAATTCTACTTTTTGCTCGACGGCTCCGCCTTTAGCGGCGACATCGACGCGCTCACCGACCAGATGTGGGGCGCCTTGTGGGCCTTCTCGCATGGAGAGGGGGACTTTGGCTGGCCGAGCGGCGGCGAGATGGACCTGCTCGAGTGGCTGCCCAAGTTTGACGCAAGAGCCGGGGGGCTGGGCGCGACGACGGGCTTTCACAACGTGGTCACGGGCGCGTACCCGCCGTGCTGCATGAAGGCCGACCCGGTCATGTACCCCTACGGCCTCCAGGGGTCCGCTGTGGTGGGCGGGGACGGCTTCCTGCTGCCGCACGACTCCAAGTTCTCCACGTGGGGCGAGGCGATGCAGCGGCTTGCCGGCCGGCCACAGGCGACGATGGCGCGCGTAGATAGGCGGCTCAGCTGTCTGCTCTCCCTCTGGTACAATCACCAGCAAAACCAGACCTCTCGGGTTGACCCTCTTCCACTGTTAGTCGCGGTAACGCCGCCTCCCCTCTGGCTCTCTCCCACAGGCGACGATGAACCGAACGAAGGCGGCGCGCCAGCTGTACAACAATGTCGTGCACGTCTACGCGCGGGGCACGAGCTCGACCTTTGACATCTTTGCCAAGCAGCGCGCCAACCCGCTGGCGCCGCCCCCGATCTCTGTCACGACGACCGCCGACACCATGCGCGCGTACGGCTACGCGCAAGTCTTCCGCGCGTACGGCGACTTTGGCTCCAACAACGACTGCTCGTTCCACAACGCCTTTCCGATGAACAGGGCCCAGTCGAACCACGGGCCGTGGGACGGCAAGCGGTGCACCAACTGGCACCAAAACATGCACTTTGTCTGGTCGATTGTGCGCAAGGTTTGCGGGGCCGCCGCTGCACCGCCCTGCTCTCGGCTCACTCCCACACCGCACCACCCCACCCTCCAACTACTTTCTCACTCCTCGTTCCGGCGCCCCCCGAACCGCTGCGGCACAGGACGTCAACCACGAGGAGGACCGCGCCATCGTCTTCTACCTCTCCGACATCCACGTGCGCGGCGGCAGCAAGCACACAGCCGCGCAAGAGCCCGTCGACTCGCCGCCTGGCAGGCGCCGTCCACACCGCGCCTAACCTCGGCTCCACCGCCCTCCACACGCTCTCCGCCATCCACGAGACCATCGCCCCCGGGGGACGGCAGGCGAGTCGTCACGGAGCAGGACGACGTTCGCCCGTGCGGCTGGCTGGAAGGCGGGCCCGAGGCGTGCAACGTCCGCCTGGCCAACGCCGTCGCGCAGCTCGACCCCCACGACTTTACCTCCCACCGCGTCTCTTTGCAAGTCCCTAGCGCGGAGTACCCTGTCGATACACTCGCCGCCACCGCCGGCCTGGAGGAGCTCAGCACGGCCATGAGCGCCGCTGCCGCCGCCGAGCCACCGCGCCCGAAGCTCTGCGCGCCGCCTTTCCCTTCGCCGCCGCCCTCACCGCCGCCCTCGGGCCCTCCCGTGCCGCCACCTTCGTCGCCTTCGCCTCCGCCGCCTCCGCCGCCGCCGTGGACGCCGCCGCTGTTGCCTCCCCCCTCTCCGGAGCTTCCGCCCTACCCACCGGCGGCGCCGCCGCCGCAGCTGCTGACCGTCGTGCTGGGCGAGATCCCTGGCGGCGTCTCCTCCATTGTGGTCGCGTCTGCCGTGGCCCTCTCCTGCATTGCGCTGGGTCTCCGGCGAAAGTGGGGCCGCGCCGCGTTTGCGGCTCCGGCGCGGCTGGACGGCGACGAGTTTGAGGACGAGGAGGACGAGGAGGACGACGATGGGTTCTCTGCGCGTCGCATCATGCCCGTCCAGCTCGGCCACTCTCGCCTCCCCGCGGGCGAGGACGACAAAGGTAAAGACGGGCAAGGGCGGGCAGCGCGGCAGCCGGACAGCAGGTGCTACGGGAGCGCGGAAGCGGGGGAGGCAGCGATGTCTGGCAGCATTCCGCCGGCAGGCACGCTGCCTACAGGCACGCGAGTGAGGCTCCACGCAATCGCGTCGCAGCCGCGTCTCAACGGCCGGTGCGGCACCATCGCGGGCTACCAGCCAAAGTCGCATCGTTACGAGGTGCAGCTGCTCGGGTTCGTCGCGGGCGGGCCATCGCGAATCATGATCAAGCCCGGGCGCGTGGTGCAGGCGGTGGTGGCGCAGGTGCAGGGAATCCGCTCCGACTCGTCCCTCAACGGCCGCTCCTGCGCGGTGGTCGACTTCGACGCGGCCACCGGCCGTTACAAGCTCTGCCTCGTCAAGAGCGGCGCCGCGGTTAGCGACGACGACCTCTCCGCCAACATGCTGCTGCTCCGCCCGAAGAATGTTGTGCTGCCGGAGGGGTGCTACGTGCGGCACGCGAGCACGGGTGGGCGCGCCGCGTGGCCGTCCGGCGCGATCGGGCGCGGGCCGCCCCCCCGAAAGAGGCATATGAGCGGCCGGACGAGACCCCGACGAGCCGCCCCCCCCCCCTCCCCCTCCCCCTCCCCCTCCCGCGAGCAGGCGCGTCGCGAGCGTGAGGCGCGAGGGCCGGGCGTATCTCGTGGAGGTAGCTCGCACCGAGGTGTGTGCTCCACACGAGTGCGCGTCAGGTGCGGCGGACGGCGCGCAAACAGGCTAAGCCGAGAGACCGACGCGTTAGGTGTTCGAACGGCAGCCGCCGAGAGCCGCCGACGAGGAGGACGATGGCGCTTCCGAGGCGTCTGCATGCCTAAGCAGAGACGACCGTCACCACCCAGGCGCTGGCTCGAGGGCAAAGCAGCCGGGGGTGCCAGCCGCGCGGCGCGGCGCCGAGATGCGCGAGACGCCTTGCGAGGAGGTGGTGCTGTTGTGAGTGAGGGCGCCTCTTTGCGGCCTCTCGAGTTCCCTCTCTCGCGTAGTTCGCACTGCACTTGTGCGGCGTGATGGGTGGCCGGGTCGTTGGCCTGGCCGAGCCCTACCGACATTGTCCCGATTTGCTGCTCTGGCTCGTTCCCTGCGTCGCGAAGGGGCTGCGTCGCGAAGGGGCTCCCGGATTTCGCCACGGCGCCGCCCTTCGCCGCGTCGGGCCGGGTTAGACTGGTGGTGACGGAGAAGACGAGAGGCACGTCTCCTTAAAATCCCTGTGTGGTGGCGGCGTGCCGTCCTTCCATCCCTCTCTGGGCGTGTTTGTTTTCTTTGTTTTTTGCGCCTCGCCCTCCCTGTGTTGGAAAAAAGAGGTGAAAGCTCGCGCGAAGTAGCTGGCAGCTAGTAGCTCGCGTACGGCTTTACGTATATGTGTGCAGTGTCGCAGTGTGGCTGTGCCTGTCCCTGTGGCGTGTGGGTGTGCACCTCTGCGACCTGGACGTCGACCTGGGGCCACCGGTCGCCCTGTTCACGCGCGCGCGCGAGACGTGCAGACATGGTTGCCAGGTGAGAGCGAATGCACCTGTGTGGACTGTGGGCATGTTGTGGGCGCCGCCATGCCTCATGAGCTCGCTGTCGCTCATCGGGGTTGTGTAAATTCTAACGAATAAAAGCTAAAGCGCCGTACGTCCTCAGAGTACACACTCTTCTCTCAGTAGCTCAGACTCTCTCTCGACAAAACGGACAAGGAAGACTCGCGAACGCGATCTCGACATGGCGCGGGGTGCCGGAGGGATCTCTCGGCATAAACACCCCGTCGTAGCCTCGCTCTCGAGGCCAAGCTCTCGTAGCCACATGCTTACTGTAAGTATCGACGAGCGTTTTACCCCCGCATGAAGCTGAACACGTCCGCGAGGGTGGTGGAGGTGCACGCGCCGCTTGAGCCGCGCCGTACCTGCTTCGCGGGGCCCTGAGGCCAGCGCTGCGGAAGGTCTGTCGTCGTACCGTCGCTGGCGACCGAAGCGGCGGGGGGCTCGACGTCACTCGCCCTGCCTCGCTTCTGCGGGAACTTCTTTCTCGCCACCGCGCCTCCACGTCGTCGAGGCGGTGAAGCGGCCGCTGGCTGCCCTCCGCCGCCTCGCCCCGCGGCCGCGCCGCCGCCACTCGCGCTCGCCGCGGGGCGGGCCGCGGGGCGGGCCGCGGGGGGCCGGCCGGGCCGGACGCGCCTCATCGATCCGGCCACCTCCTCCTCGTCGAAGCCAAACTCGTCGTCGGCGTCTGGTTTTTCGGCTGCGACGTCGTCTGCGGCGCTGCCGTGGTTTGGCGGCCGGCTCGGCGGGAGCGGCGGCCGTCTCGCTGGGAGGGAGGCTGCGCTCTGTCCCTCCGCGGCTCCTGCCTTGGCCGCCGCCTGGGCCGCAGCTCCGCGCGAGGAGGTGGCGGCGCCTGCCGGCGGCGGCGGCGCATCTTTGCGCACCGGCTCGCGCGGGGCCGCCGCGCCCTTCGCCCTGCCGCCAGCCTCCTTGCCGCCTGCGAGCCGCCCGGCCGAGACGAGCGCCGACTCTTTCCTCTTCGGCTCGTCTCTCTTCTTCGGCCTCCACTCACTCGCTGCCTCGGCGGGTTTCGGCCCCGCCGCCGCCGGAGTGCGCGCCTCTGGCGCCGGCACCGGCACCGCCGCCGCCGCAGCAGGCGACGCGGCCGGCGGCGCCTGCATCGCCGCCGCAGCAGCAGGCGGCGCGGCCGGCGCTGGCGCCTGCACCGGCGGCGCTAGAGCAGGCGACGCAGCAGGCGCTGGTGGTGCAACAGCGGGCACCATCGGAGCCGTCACTGCTGCTGCCGACGGGGGAGCCGCGTCGCTCGGCGCTGGCGCCGCCGTGGGGAGGATCGGCACAGGCACCGGTCCGTCCTCCTCCGCCACCGCCGCCGTGTAGCGAAAGGCGCACACGAGCGCTGCCCGCTTCTCCTCGCTCAGCTCCGGCGGGGGACGCTTAACGGGCATAATGAGGGAGATGAGATCCCCCGGTTGCAGCGCTCGCGGCTCGCCCTTCGGAAGCCGCTTCCCGTTGTGGAAGGTGCCGTTGGACGACGAGTCGGTAATGTACAGCTCGTGGTTTGCCGTGAAGCGCAAGTGATCGGCCGACACCCGCGCGTCCTCGAGCACGATGCCGCTCGACGGCCGGCGTCCGACGGTCAAGGACGCGTCGCAACGTAGGGAGTGCACGCTCTCCTTTCCCGGCAAATAGACGGTAAGCGTGTGTCGCTCGAGCGGGTCCATGGCCAAATAGGAAGGGGCAACCAGTATGTGGTGTGAACCCCGATTTGGTGCGGCGGCGCAGAGTGCGCCGTAGAGGGCGCAGAAATCCGCGCACATTTGCGCCGGCGCCGGCGCAGATCTGCGCCGGCACCGGCGCACTTTTGCGCCGGTGCTGTCCACTCGCGAGCGATTTTCCCTTTTTCTCCTTCTTCCTCCCTTGTCCGTCCGACCAGTTGATCCCAGTCTTGGGTGCAGCGTGGTTGTAGGAGAGTCCTGCAGCCGGCCCGCGCGAGTGTCGCGTGGGCCCGTCGAGTATGAGCAAAACCCTGACCACCTATATAGCGAGCTCGCGCGAGCTGGGTTCAGGGTGAGCGAGTGACCCTCCAGAGGGGAGAGGCGGAGAGCAGCGCCCACGTCCAGGGGCGGGCAGGGAAAAAAGAATTTTCCAAGCCAGTTCCCTTTGAAAACGGCCGCAAACTAGCGTCGGGAGTATCTTACACGCGCCGCGGCGCAACAACAACCCGCGTCGCGCCTGCGCACGCACACGCGCGGCGCGGCGCAACAACAACCCCGCGCCCCAGAGGGCGCCGATTTGCTGACTGTCGGGCCCACCGAGCACCACGCGACGCTCCAAGAGGGCCGGTCCCTGGCGAGCCGAAGTCAGGGCCGCCGATCCGCTCGCGCCGAGCGCGGCGATGGGGCTCTCGCCGTGGCAAATTCTCGCCGCCGCCGAGGTGCGCTACTGCATAGTCACACTCTTCCTGCTCTGGATCCTGCTCTGCCTGCTCTTCAAGCGGCTCCCGATCCTCGACAAGCCGCTGGGGTCCGCGCACCAGGTGGTGGTGCTGCTCCCGTTCTGCTACCTCGCTTTCCAGGGCTCCCGTCTCTGGCTTTTCGATGACGGCTTCGCCGCAGCCTTTGCCGACGACCGTGTCTTTGGCTTTTACGCGCCTGCCCAGAGCTTGGTCCTCGTCTTCTTCGGCTTCCAAGTCTGGGACCTGACGGTCACGCTCGTCACGCCGGAGCTTTGCAAGCCTGACGCGATCATCCACCACTCGGTCTCGGGGGTCCTCGCCCTTATCGGGCTGTCGGCTGGAACTTCGGGATTCTTGCTCTACTACGGCGCCTTCTTCTTCGGCTTCTCGGAGGTGTCGTCCGTCCCGCTTGCCGCGGTCGACATCTTTAGGATGAACAAGCGCCTCGCATCTGCGATGCCTTCGGTCAATGAGGCCTGTCGCGTGTCTTTTGCGGCTCTCTTCCTCGGCATTCGCTGCGCCTACTGGCCGTTCGTCGCCTTTGACTTTTGGCGGCAGACGCTCGCGAGCGGAGCGCCCTTCTCTCTCCTCTCCGTTTGGTGGGCAGCTAATATCGGGCTCACGCTGCTCCAGTACTATTGGGGAATGCTTATCGTCAAGGGCATCATAAAGATGGTCACAGGGAAGAAGGACTCGGAGGGCGACGCAGGCAGCTCGGGTGACGGCCCCCTCCTCGAGGCCGGGTCGACCTTGCAGTGATGCGGGTGATGTGAATAAGACACCTCACTGATGGAGATGCTAATTCAACAACGCACGTGCCTCTCCGGTCCGGTGTGACGGTGTGACGGTGTGACCCGCATGTGCCGTGCCAACCCGCCATCACAGACCAAATCATTAGGAAGCTGTATGATAGAGGCTGCAGCCCCACACCACAGTGACATGGATCGTGGCGCACAGAGAAACGCGAGTAGGACACACACGACGACCGACATGCGGGGGGGTTGACGGGGTACTCAGACTCGTGGGCGCGAAGACCCACGACGGCCCGCGTTCGTACACGCACACGAGAAACAAAGACGACGATCTACGTGTCCTACCGATGCACGTACGGAGGGAGGGGCGGCCGAGATAATGCTGTTCAGTCGCTTGCGCCGACCACCGTTGCAGTGGCCGAGGCGAGGATAGCATAGACGGAGTTCGAGTAGCAGAGCTCGAGCTCTTCGTAGACACATGCGCGCTCGAGGTCGCGAAGGGCTAACCAGCGCTTGTCTGCGGCGGCGTGCCTCGGCGGGACCCCTGGCTCTCCAATGAGCTCAAGCACGGACGTGACGGCGCCGCGGTGCAGGCTCCGCTCCTCCTCTCCCATGCCCATCAGCGTATCGATGGAGCCCCGGCAGTGCTTGGACAGCGCCGAGTGCTCCGGCAGCTCCGATAGCCAGGGCGAGATCGTCATATCCTCCGCCGGCTTTGGCGGGCGCAACTGGTTTGGCATCCACTATGCCGGCTTTTTGTCTCGGTGAGCCACCGCCCCGGTCCTCTGTTTCAGATGGCCCGTTAGCGGCTGTATCCCTCTACAGTGGTACACGTTCCCCTTTCCCCTTCACAAACAACGGTCATGTTCCCGTCATTCTTAATGCCCTGTCCCCCTCGTTGCCGCATCCGGGACGAGCGCGGGGGCGCCGGCCGATACGCTTCCCGATCGATAGCTGTGTGTATATGAGAGAGAGATTTTTAGCAATACCAAGTGTTGTTGTATATGTGTGTACGTATGTAGTCTACAGGTATGTTCGTTAGTAAGTAAGTAAATAGGATTAGCTCTGTCTGACCTCTCTCTGTATAGCTGCGCGATGGCTCCGCCGGGGCTGAAAGAAAGAAAGAAAGTCGCTACTCGGGGGCCCCGGCGCGTGTCGGTAGGCGAAGGCGCCCTGCTGCCTGCTGAGTCTGCTGGGTAGTGTGTGCGTTTGTGTGCGTCGGTGCACGGTGGAGCGGAAGGGTTGCATGGCATCGTGTCGTCCATCGATACTACTACGTCAGAGAGACTAGAGGCGAGCGAGAGCATACAGCATACGGCATACGTTGGTTGGGACGTTTGCAAGGCAGGAATTTTTCGGGTAAATCCGGCGCATACGCTGCAGCGCAGTGCAATCTACAGGCGAGGCGCGCTCGACGTGAGGCGCGCGTCGGCACGGCAGTGCGCCGCTCACCACGCGTCGCCGGCGAGGAAGCGCGAAACCTCGCGAAGCTCGGCTCGGGCGCGTAGTGCGGCGCCTCGTGGCCGGAGAGCTTGATCGTGACGAAGGCGAGGGCTGCGTCAGGTTGGCGTTTGCGACATTGGAGCTCGTGGCGTAGCCCGAGACGATGTTCTTGCCCGCCGAGGCATACGCTCTACGGCTTACACGGGTGCCACGCCTTCGCCTCGCTCGCGGGGACTGCGCCTCGCCCACTTGCCCTGACTGCACAGGATTGCGTGCCCCGAATACGGCGACACATAGCGGGGGACACTGCGCAAGGAGGGGGTGCGAAGCCAAGATTGGGGTTCTAGGTGGTGGGACCATGAGGGGGGGAGGGCGGGGTCCTGTGGGGGTGAAATGTTGCGCGGCGAATTCAAGACCCCCTCGCCGCGCCGATCCTCACGCGGAGGGTAAAACCCCTGGGGGGAGAACCCCCCCCCCCCCCCCCCCCCCCCCCCCCGCGGTCGGCAGTCTTCAGAATGGACACTCCCCCTCCCGCTCCCCATTGGTGACTCGCACCCCCACCCAAAACCATCCAAAAACGCGAGCAGAGGCCGCCGTGTGGGGCCACGGCGAGCCTCGGCGAGAAAGGTCAGCACCCTATCTCACGCGGTCGGCTCGCTCTTGGCGGACACTCGGGGTGGGGGGGTGGGGGGGCATTCTGAATCTGATCGACTTGAGCGCACACCGTAAGTGTGAGCAGTGAGGTCTCCGCGCGGACGAGCGCCGATTATGTTAAGAGGTTGCCGCCACAGCAGTTCCCACGTGAGCGACGTGTCTCGTGTGTTGACTCTGTTGAGTACAAGTTGAGACTATTTGAGTCACTCTTGAGTGGTACTCTGGGGGGAGGCGGGGGCCCCCGGAGGCACCGTGCGCCGCGCAGCAGTGCGGAAACGGGGCTCCGGCTCTACTAGTCTCTACTAGCACCGACTTCCCGAATGATCACGGTTGATCAGAGGGCAGATTTGGAGAGATCTCGAGGAGTACATACAGATAGACCCTCCAATCATCAGAAAACTCCGACCTGATCGGTCGTACTGACCGCCGACAGATCACTCCAGACAGCAGACAGGCCGACGTCTGCACACGGCCGGCCGGGCGAGAGGCTTGACACGATCCGACCCTGCGACCCTGACGCTGCTGCTCTAGCTATCAGACATGCGCTGCTGACTGCTGCCACAATGTGCGACCGGTGCTGACCCACTTGGCGGCCTTCCCGGTCAGTGGTGAGGCGCAGTTCAGAGCTGTCGATGGCGCGATGCCGCACTGGTCCCACATTGGTGACACGAGACCACCACGTTTGCCGGTCCAAGAGAGAGGCACCGGCGCTGTCCTGAGAAGGTGCACGTACCCTCTTGACTGCCCATGCGCGCGAGGCTGTGTAGGCATAGCCTCGAGAGTGCCAGCAGCCAATCCGAGGCTGTTTGCGACGCGCATTGCGTCAGAAGCGTGCACGCGCTGGAAGGACACCTTCCTACTGGCCGTACGATCAGGTCGTCACTGAATGCCGAAGACTAAGGCCGCGAGCTATGCAGGCGGTCAGTTGAGCAGCATGGCACGGTCAGCAGCGCCGAAAGGATGTCGCAAGGCGTGATAGCATGGCCGCAAGTACGCCGAATTCCCATGAAAACAAGTAAAAAATCGCGCGAAAAAAATCCAAAAAAATCGGCGCCTGCGGCGGGCTGGGGGACCCCATCTCCCCCCCGCATGGGTACCCCCTAGGGCCCTCGCCTCCCCCCAGAGGAGTGGTACCCTGTGGAGTGTGGTCCCTGCCGGGGGTGCCGCGCACAAACCGCAAAATCCCAAGTCCCAAGCATTATGCTTCAAAAAGCAAGCAAATCCTAAAGCGTAAAGGTAAACCGAAACGCCAGCATGCAAAAAAAGGGTATTGTCAAAAGGACCGGGAGCCGCGCGCCTTTCGGTTCTCACGGTTGTGCTTGTGGTGTAGGTATGGGGTTATGATTGCTCTAGCTGTCGCTTGACCCTCCGCGGCACTGTACTACGCGAAGCGCGCTCTGGCGCACACACGAACATTGTCTCTGCGAGTCGTAGGCACAGGTCAACAAGGTGTCGATCGTCCGGTCTGTGTGTGCGCCCATAGATTCGCGATTGTCCCCCGGCGGCCTCGACGCTCGAGGAGGTGCCGCTGTCAGCCGCCCCCCTCGTATGAGTGGCTGCTCTCGAGCAACGTACGGTGGTGTGTGAGCCTGTAGATGAACTCACATCGTGTCGTAGACGGTGTCTTCGTTCTCAAACCGGAGCTGCTGCACCGTCAGCTTTTTCAGTGCCAGCCATGCGTTCCAGCACTCCCACGCCACGCGCGCAGCAATCACCTGTGTCGGACCGGGGGCGGGTGGGCTGGGACGTCAACAGGGAGGTGGCGGCGGCGACGGAGGAGGTGCGGGCGGAGTGGAGATGCGTGGGGTGCTGCTATGGGTGGGAGGCATGCGGACACTAGGTGCGGCGGCGAGGGAAGGGCCAACGAAGGGGAGGGGGGGGGGGGGGGAGCAGAGCGCAGCCAGGAACATCTGGGGGCTGCGGGGGCTGCCGGAGGGGCGCGGCGCACCTGCACGACCCGCGCCGCCAGCCGGTGCAAAGTGGCGCCGAGAGAGATGTGCAGGAGCAGCGCGGAGGCGACGCCCGCGCCGATGAAGCGCTGGCGCAGCTCGACCCGCTCGATCATCCGCTCCACCTCGAGCGTCCGCACGCGCAGCTTCAGGTCCCCCTCCTCGAGCTTGCGCACCTGGCCACGGCAGCAGCCACGCCATCCTCAGAGGGGCTTGGGTGGGGGGTGGGTGGGGGGTGGGTGGGGGGTTGGGGGGAGGGGGGGGGGGGTTCCCCCCGCCCCCGGTGGGCGCCCTTTGTGCGACCCCCGCGACCGCCCGCGGCTGCGTCACCAGCTGCGCTACGTCCTGCGGCCGCCACCCCACCCGCCGCCCCAGCTCCAGCGCGGCCGACTTGAGGGCCGATCCGTCCCGCAAGTCGGCCAGCTCGCGCAAGTAGGGCTGTGAGATGCGGGAGAGGTCGTAGCGCGGGCCCGTCAGAGTCTTCCCGATGCCGTCGATCGTCGAGAAGGCGCGGAAGACAAAGGTGAACTTTGGCGGGAAGAGGAAGGGCCGCTCGGCTTGCGTGGCGAACCTGCAGTGTGGATACGCCAATGTCAGAGGGGGAGGGGGGGGGGTGGTACGGAATTGTGCCGTGTATTCAGAGCACCGCGTGAATACACGGGCTACGAGTACAGCGAATACGGTTGCAATACGGCGGACTGCAGCTGAGCACGTGTCCTCTCGAGCGCTGGCCGGAAGACTACAGATCTGCATTCAGCTTCTAGGCTGGCGGACAGGTCCTGCCCCAGTTGCGCACGGCGGTTGCGCCGGCTCTCGCGCTTCTCCTCCGGCGTCATCTCGTTCTCCCACCTGTGCGTTGGACCCGGACCAAGCTCAGGTGGTGACGAATGGGGCCCGGGGTTGTGCGTTTATGTGAAGAATGGTCCGTGCCGTGTGCTCAGAGCACCGCGTGAGCACTCGGGCTGCGACTGCTCCGGCTGAAGACAGCTGAGTGCAGTTAGCCGTGTCTTTCCGAGTGCGAATCGGAGTACAAAGGTCCGCGTCTAGCGTCTCCCACTTGTTGTCGGCGGAGGCGAGCGTCGACTGGAAGCTTCCGAGCATGTTCCTCGCGATCCGCTCGATCGAGAACCGGTCGACGCCCTTGCGCAGCACCCCCATCGTCTCGAGCGCGTCGCACGCCTCGCGCGGCATGTTCTGGTAGATGGAGAAGATGAGGTCGACGAAGCCGCGCTTCACCTCCACCTCGACCCTCTCCATCATGCCTGCCACGCACACCCATCGAGGCGCTCTGTGGCCACCCCGCCGACCCCTCGCGGCCCAGCCCGCGCGCGAAAGGCAACGGCAGACGAGGCGGCCACCCGCGAGGCTGCATCTCGGCTGCCTCTCGGCTGCCTCTCGGCTGCCTCTCGGCTGCATCTCGCCAAAGTCGTAGTAGATGAGGCGGCCGCCCGGGAAGCCGTCGTCGACGGCGAGGTTGCCAGGGTGGGGGTCGCAGTGGAAGAAGCCTGTCAGGGGGGGGGGGGGGGGGGGCGTGGAGGTAGGAGGGGCGGTCGGCAGAGGGGAGGGGCGTTGGAGGAGTGGCGCGGGCGGCGTGGCGTGATGTGGCGGCGACAGACCCCCGGGTGGGCGTGTGCGGAACCGGCTGGGTGCGCTCTCGGCTGTGCTCTCGGCTCTGCTCTCGGCTCTGCTCTCGGCTCCTCTCGCCTCGCGCTGCAGCGCCTCCGTGTCTGTGATCTTCTTTCCGGGGCAGTACTCCATCGTGAGCAGCCGCGAGGTGCAGAGCTCCGGGTACATTGCGGGCACCTTGATCGTCTTGTCCTTCGCGAAGTTCGCGCGGAACTCAGTCGCGGCCTGCGTCGGGAAGGTAAACCAGCGTCAGAGGGCGGGGGGGCGGGGCCACGCCGGGTACCCAGAGCACGTCGGCCCGCAAGCGCCCACAAGGGCTGCGGATACGAGGGTTGCGAAGAGTGGAACAACCCAGTCAAAATGACCGGATCTGCATCTCCCCTCGACAGATGGGGAGAGGCGGGGAGCTGTCCCGCATCTATGGGCAGAGAGACGGGGAGAGGCGGTGAGAGGCGGGGAGAGGCGGTGAGAGACGGGGAGCTGTCCCGCATCTAGGGGCCGCGGCGTGCTGCTCGATCCGAAAGTCGATCTCGCGGTAGAGGACATCGCCGCTCGTCTCGGCGACGCCACGCCAGTTGGAGGCGAGGGCCTCGGTCTGCGGGTCGAGCCTACGGCAACGCGCAGGCCGGCGAGGGCCGTGGGGACGCGCGTCGTCCGCGGCGCTGCATTCGCTCTCTCTCGACAGGAGCAGTCTGCAGACTCCTTCGCCCGCACGGGGGTTTGGGGTCGCCCTACACAGCCAACTAGGGCGACCCCAAAGGGCGAGGCATGCGGCGCGGTGTCTCCAGGGCGGGGGCAGGGAGACGCGGTCTCCGCATCTACGGCGTCGAGCCGGTCCGCCAGCGAGGCGACCAGCCGAATGTTGAAGAGGTCGACGTCAAACAGCTGGCGCAGGTTCTCGCGCTGCACCTGCGGGACGGAGGGGAGGAGGGGGGGGGGGGGGTGTGGGAAGAGCGTCGGGAGCGGCTGCGCCCGGTGGAGGGGGCGGTTGACCGCGGCACCAAGTGGCTCTCTGGGAGGTCTGGGGAGTGCCTCCGAGGAGGATGCGTCACCTTGACGACGACTTCGTCTCCGGAGTGCAGCCGCGCGCGGTGGACCTGCGCGAGGCTAGCGGCGGCGAGCGGCGCGTCGTCGAAGCTGGCGAAGAGCTCCTCGACCGGCTTGCCCAGCTCGCGCTTGACCAGCTGCTTCGCGCGCTTGCCGGGGAAGCCCGGCACCTCGTTCTGAAGCCGCGACAGTTCTCCGATCACCTCTGGCGGCAGCACGTCGACTCGCGTCGACAGCAGCTGCCCGACCTTGATGAAGGTGGGGCCGAGCCGGATGAGCGTGTCGCGCAGCCCCGCCGCGAGCACCCTCCTCGCCTCGACCGCCTCGGGCGACTCGCGCCTATCCGCGTACTTGCGCCGCAGCACAAACACCCGCCACGCCTGCAGCACGCAGCAGCTCCAGATGACCCACGAGCGACGCAGCAGGCGCAGCCGGTTCCGGATCCCCAGCCCTGAGCTCCAGCGGCCTGGCTGCTCCAACGGCGCCACCGAGCCCACCGCATCGCACATCGAAGCAGGCTGGACGCGAGGCTGCGGCAACGGGCAGCCGATTCGCGGCGCCATGGCTGGCCGCGAGGCGTGGCGACCAATACCGATCGCCGGGCCGACGCCAGTTCCTGCTGTCCAGCTTCCACTCGCAGACGCAGACAGCAGGAGCATGGCGACCGAGCGAGGCGGAGGACCGAGGAGGGAGGCTGAGCGAGGTGGTGCCATTAGATCGAGAAAAAAGAAGTGTGTCGCGAGTCCTCGGGAAGACGGGAACGAGAGTGGGACAGCCGCGAGGTGGCATGAAGGTTGCAGCGAGAAGCGGCGAGAGACTGCGAAAAGAGATACGAGGAGGCAGACCCCCCAGGGTGGGCGACGGCTAGCGCATCACACCCTCCTCTCCTTAAAATCCCTGTGTGGTGGCGGCGTGCCGTTCTCCCATCCCTCCCTTGGGTTGTGTGTTTTCTTTCTTTCTGGGAACTGTCGCGAGCTGCAGGCGAGGACCGCACAAGCTGGACCTGAATCTGGCCGGTGGCTCCCTCTCAAGAGACTCGTAGCGTATCCTCAGAGCGCAACGCGTCATGATTTCTTGTTGGACTTCAAAAATCTCTCTCTCTCAGAGCGCATAAGCTCCGCTTTCACTCTTCCGTCGCGCCACAGCCCTGCGCAAACGCGTCGAGCAGCGTGGCCAGCTTCTCGGCCTCGGCGACCAGCTGCGGAGGCGGCGTCTTGGCTTGCAGCCGGCAGCCGTCGTCGAGAGCGGCCAGGGAGGTCTTGATCTCCTCGTACTGTGCGCTCTTCTCCGAGTAGAGATTGGTCCCTTCCAGCTGCGCGAGTATCTTGGTGCTAGCCTTACGGATGCCGTTGGCAGGCGGCTTCCGCAGGTCGACACGCACTCGCTCGTAGTTGTCGACGCCGCCATCCAGCAGCGGCGCCAGCGCCTGCACCGCAGTACGCGCACTCTTCAGGTCGCGGACGTACTCGCCGATGGTCAACGCCTTTGCAGGCGTAACGCCGGCGAGCACGGGCGACGCTGCTGATGTCGGTGACGCTGCCGCCACAGCGATGGCGGACGCGGCGGACGCGGCGACCGCTCTTCTGCTCAGCTGGGGCGCGGCCATTGACGCCTGAACTGAGTGCACGCAAAGCGCCAGCTGCAGCAGATTCAGATGGCGGGCCATGGCAGTGTACAGCCTGGCGCGCAGAGACAGAGAGACCCAGCAAATCTGGCTGTGCTGGGTTCGGGCTCCGTGTAGATAGGGGCGCATACAGGGACTTGCCCCTTTTTACCCATCTCGTATCTCCGTTTTATTGATTTATTTGTGCTAACCGCTAAACCCACCAACGGGCAGTGCTTCCCACAGCGTGCGCAGCGTGCCGAGCCCGACGAGGTAGCCGTCCTCGTGGTTGCCCGCCTCCCACCGCGCGTCGTGCGTCAGAGTCGGGCCATCGGGCAAATGCTGGGTTTTTGCAAAGTCGATCATCCGCACCCGCGCCGAGCCGCCCGTGCGGTCCGCCTCGTCGTAGACAAACAGCAGCGACGACGAGACGACCTCTCGCGCCGCAAACCAGCTCGAGGCGCGGAGGCTCGCGTGGAGCCGCGCGAGCGCCGCCGCAAAGGCGTCGTGCGCGGCCGCGTTGCCGCCCACGAAGAAGGCGAGCGCGCGCGAGATGTCCTCCTCGGAGCGCAGCCGCTTGAAGCCGCCGCGGCTCTCAAAGGTTGCGCCGTCTGGCCGGGAGATGCCCTCGATGCGCAGCCCGAGGGTGGCGGAGGAGGACTGGGAGTCGCGCTGCTGCAGGTACCGCCCCTTGGTGATGCCTCGCTCTCTCTCCCCGGGCAGCAGCAGCGCCGGGTCGATCTCGTGCAGCTTCGTGGCCAGGTCGACCCGCAGCTTTGTCGCCGCCGCCTCCTCCTCCAGAAACGTGCGCGTGCCCATCTTGACGTCCATCACGCACGGCCGGCGCAGCCCCGCGGTAAGGTCCTCGATGAAGATGCTCGCCATCTCCAGCCCGCTCTTGCTCGCCGACCCCAGGCCGCCGCCCCCGCACCGGCCGCCGCCGCCGCCGTCCGACGCGTCACCGACCTCGTCCGCGCCGTGAAATGAGGGGAGGTGATCCGCGAGATCCGGCGGGGCCGTGCGGTAGGCCGCAAGCTCGCGGGCGACCGCCAGCTTTCGCACCACGCCCGGCCGCTCGCGCTCGAGCATACCGTGGCCGGCGACCTGCACGAGCGGCGCCTCTGCTGCGTCCTCTGTCGAGCTCGTTCTGCGGCTGAAGCGCGGCGGCGGTCGCATCTTCGAGGTGGAGAACCCGTCGTACGGGTCGTAGTCCACCACACCGTGCTTCTCGCGGCCACGCCGCCCACGGTACATTGCAGAGACAAGGATTGCGGCGCGTATCAGCGTGGCGAGGCGTCGAGGGGTCTCGCACGGAGGCGCCTCCTCCGATTCTCTCAAGGTTCCTGCCGCCATCCCCGCAGGCAGCGACTCCCTCTTGCTGTCGTCCATCAACCTGCCTTCCCAACACCGACTCTTCACACCTTCCGAGGCCGTCTCGAGAGCGTGCGCCCTCCGCCCTGAGGCCCCCCTTTGTCGTCGAGGTCGGAGCCGCCCAGATGAGGTCTCCGAGCAACAGGTAGACGCCCGCCGCCCAGCGCCCTGGAGGCCCTGGAGATGGGGAGGGAAGACTACTATCTACTTGCGGCGTCGCGGGCCTAGAAGGCCCGCGCGCCGCAGGGGACAGGGAGGTTTAGACGGGTCATGAAGGAGTTTGCGATATTTTATGTTCTGCGGTCGCGGCGACGCCGGCGCGCGGCGCGCGAGATGAGCTGCTGCGGAGTGGCGACTGGTGTTTGGGCGAACCCCTGGCGAGCCGAAGGCTGTGTGGTGGTCTAAGCGAACGGGAAGGTCCGACATAACAAGCCAGCCTCATCCCGCCGGCAGCGCGCGCAGAACCCGGAAAGGCGCCGCCGCGTTGCCGGGATTGTACTCCAGGAGAGGCAGGGGGAGCCCGTCGGCGACGCTAGCGGCGTCCTGCACGGCGCGAGCGAGCGCCAAAGTGACGCGGCTTGCCCGCGAATCAATCGCGATCGCCTGGACAAAGTGCGCAAGCGCCGCTCCTGCTCCCCACCCTCCATCCCGCCACACGTCGAGAACAAGCTCGTTGTACCCCGGACCCGTGCGTTGCAGGCAGGTCTCGAGCGGGACGTGCCGCAGAGCATAGGGAAAGCAACCAGGAGTGCAGTGCGCGTCACCCCCCAGAGGACAATTGACCCGGTTGCTCCCGCCGTCGCGCGGGTAGCAGCAGTTCATCCGCTCCGCCGCAGCGGATCGGCGGAGGACGAGCATCGGCATGTACGTGTACTCGATCATCTGCTCACCGATCCGGCGCAAGGCCGGACCCAGGGCCCCGCTTCTGAAGATCACACCGGGTCTGTACGTCGCTCGATGCAGGTAGTTGATTATGCTCACGGATATGCGGTCCGTGGCAGAGACGGCTACCACGCCCCTGACAGGCTGCCCCACTCGCGCCCACAGCTGAGTCCCACTCACATCCTTGTACTTGTTCAGTTCCTCTTGGGTATGAGGGTCGCCTCCATTATCCAGCACGTAGGCCACTACGCCACGGGGGCGAGCTGGAGACCTGCTCAGCCATAATGCGTTGATCTCCGCCACCACCTCAGAGGCCGAAGGTGCCGTCGGCGGCGGCGGCGGCGATGGCCACGGTGGTTGTGTGGGCGGCAACTGAGGAATCGGCGACGGCGGCAAGTGAGGGGGCAGCGACAGCGGCAGTGACGCTGGCGGCATGGGAGACGAAAGAGGCGGTGGAGATTGGGGGGATGGACTAGACAAATGATGCGGGGCAGGCGGGGATACTCCGTCGAAAAGCAGGTGCCCCGCGATGATCCCGGAGACGAAGACGGCGGTGATGGCAGAAAGGGCGGCGGCTAGCTTTTGGCAGTGGCTTTTGCATTGGCGCCAGCCGCGGTCAGAGCCCTGCCCATGCGACTCGCCCGCACCCGCGCTGGCGTTCGCTGGGGGTGGCGGCGGTGATAGTGGTGCTGTCGGTGCTGGCAGAGCGGGCCATTTCGAAGATGGCGTTGATGGGTCCACAGAGCCAATCTCCACCTCCTGCATCATCTGTGTGAAGCGCGTGCCGCGTTGCTTTCGATGCGGCAAAGCATTGGCTGTCCCAGTCGAGGCACCTTTGCGGGTGGCAACTGCGGCCTGGCTAGCAACGGTCACGAGGTCGGTGACTGCGGCAGGGCTAGCAGCCGGGCTAGCATCACGTGGAGCTCTGCTGACTTCGGTCTCATGTCTGCGCCGCAGTAGCTCATCGACCATCTCCTGGCACTCGTTCGGCGGCGAGCCAGAAGTGAGGCCCCGCAAAGGTCCGCGCGGCGAGACGAAGCGCCCGCCGATGCACTTCGGTTTTCTTCTACTTGCTAGAGTCTGTCTGCTGTTTCAGGTATATTGTTGGCAAATCAAGACACAGAACTCACACAGAATCACAGCGGGAGGAAAGCGGCGAGTCGCAATTCCTGGGGTCCTTGTGGCGGGCCACCCTGTCCAGAGAGGCATGGATGCCAATCTGGGGTCTCTCGACCGAGTCTATGAGCCCTGGCCGCCTCCCGCCAGGTGGCAAGGTTAGAAAACCAAGCAACGGAGATGGTGCGGGAGCGCACGGTTGTTCCAGGGGGTCACGACACGCACCGACCCTTCACGAACCGAAAGGCTGTGCCCGGGGAAGGCACAGTAATCCGGGCACGTGTTGGGCGCCCCATTCCGTTTAGGGCTGTGAGATAGTTGTCCTCGCTAATTCTGCTTCTTATGCTTCTTGCAAAAGCTTGTCCACTTACACGCACATGTACATGTGACATGTACGATGGACCGCGAGGAGAGAGAGAGTTTTTCAGTGTGTGTATGTAGCTCTTACGAACATACCTACCCGTATAGGTGAACTGCTGACTGACAGGGTTTGCGATGAGGAGCGATCCGAACGTGGTATTCGGGTGATTAGATCACTACCGCCGAAGCGCAAGCGCTTGGAGCAAGGGAACTGCCACGTATGGTCCCAGACTAGCACCCACCTCGCGGGCCGATGTTCTGGCCCAGCGAGGCTGCTGCGGAGCAATCGCGGGCCGATGTTCTGGCCCAGCGAGGCCGCGTTTTTGGTTGTTTGTTGCGAGGAGTGCCGCGACTCGCTCACACGTTTCTACGAGGCAGACGGAGAAGACGCTCAGCCAGCCGGCGGCTGTCACACAACCCCATTTGCTCTTAGTCCAAGAAATGTAGGATTGCGAGCGTAAGTGCTCACAATCGCACAGAGATGCTACGATTGCGAGGAGTGCTGCTCACACAAAAACACAACCACGGACCCAAGACGCACAAGCTCAGACAGTCGAGAAGGGAAATAAGCATCTTACAACAAAACATGAAAAATAAACATGAAAGAAGCAGCTCACAATCCTTCGACTCTAGGATTGAGCGAGGCTGCACTCAATCCAGCCTTCTAATTTGAGCCTCGACGGTCTCGCAACGATGCCCTCTCTCACTGTCAAGTACGGCCAGCGGGCGGCAACCCTGCCGCTTCCTCCAACCGTTGGTGCGCTGCGTGTTGCCATCCGTGCCGAGTTCGGACTGCCAGCCGAAGGCGGGGCGCTAACGCTCATCTCGAGCGGACGGATGCTGGCCGACCCCGAGGAAGCGCTGCCGTCCGAGCGCCTGGTGTCGGGTGGTTTCGTCTTCGTCCGCTTCGAGGCGGGACCCGGAGGCGCGACGCCCAGCCAGGTTAGCCGCACCCGCCCCGGCGTCGTGCAATCGACCATGCACTAATAATGAAACTATCATGCTCTGAGACGAGATGGGATTTAGGGACATGTGTCCCTGCCCTGCACGATCTTGGTGTGGCTTATTTATGTGCATCATTATAGTGGGTCTAATAACACATGATTGAGCGAATAGGTCGCGGCAAAGCGGCGCGAGATGCTATCCGTGCCCGTCCCGTCCGCAACCGTCCGCACGGCCCTCAAGGTGCGGAAGCGATCCCGCTTCATCGACACGCACGAGGCCAGCGAGACGGGCTCGATTGGGCTCACGCACGAGGCCAGCGAGACGGGCTCGATTGGGCTCACGCACGAGGGCAGCGAGACGGGCTCGATTGGGCTCACGCTCGTGCCCTGCGCGGACGGCACCGTCAAGGCTCGAATCCATGTCACACCGCCGTTTGGCCCAAAGCCGCGCGACCACCTCGGCGGCATCGTCTATCTCCACGACCGTGACATGGTCGTCGCCGCGATCGTGTCGCCAAAGGTGGGCCAGGAGAGGGGGAAGGTCCACGTCCTCATGAGCGGCATCGACATGATTACGTCTGGCCGCCTTCACGTGCTGTGCCATGATCTTCCCAGCGGGATGCACCCGTACCCTGTCGACGCGGACGAGCCCGGAAGCAACGAGGACGGCCGAGTGCTGGCTGCCTTCATGCGGCCCGCGCTCCGGCACCAGATGGCGCGCTTGCAGGCGGAGGACGAGTACGAGTTCGCGCCCAACAGCCTCACCGACGGCGGTGACGGCGGCGGCCTGCCTCGCGTGCTGCTGAGCCTCGGCACCGCCCTTCCGACTGGCCCCGTGCCGCAGCCGGGCATGAACGGGCTCGTCCTTCTGGGCAAGCACGCCGTGGTTGTGCGCTCGTACTCGGACGAGCGGAACGAGCCGACGGCGTTCGCCGTCAAGCCGCTCTCGATGATGCAGACGCTCGGCGTCCTGACGGAGGAGGAGGCCGCCAGCCGGCCGCCGACGCGCGCCGAGTACGAGTCCTTCGCTCAAAAGGCCGCGCTGTGCCTCGTCGACTGCGAGGTGTTCCCCCCGCCCACGCCCGCGCAGTACGAGGCGTTCCAGTACGCTGCGCCCGCGCTGCGCCACCTCGCATCGTGCGGCCCCTTTGCCGACCCGCCCCCGTCCCCGGCGGCGGCGACCGACGACGCGAGCGCCGAGGTGTCTGGCGCCGCCCGCACTCGCCCTATAGCCGCCCCCCGCCCGCCCCCACCCGCCCCCGTCCCCGGCGGCGGCGACCGACGACGCGAGCGCCGAGGTGTCTGGCGCCGCCCGCACTCGCCCTATAGCCGCCCCCCGCCCGCCCCCACTGACCCGCGCCAATCGACCGCGCCGCCAACCCGGACCTTGTCGCTTGTCCTCGCCCCCTGCGCAGCCGGCCGAGCCGCTCGAGGGGTCTATCGTGTTCATCCACGGCCTCACCTCCGAAGCAGGAAAGGAGATGAACGGCAAGCGCGGCGCCGTGCTCAGCTGGATCCCGGAGAAGAGGCGGTACGAGGTCTCTCTGCTCGACGGTCACGCGCACCTCATCGTGGGCGCGCCAAAGAGCGGGCCGGGCCACGTCGGGCGCAAGGTGGTGAGCCTCAAAGCGGCAAACCTGAAGGTGGACCCAAAGGCGGTGGTGGTGATGGCGGAGGCCTCAGACCTCGAGTACACCAACCACACCGACGAGGTGGCAAAGATGCTCGAGAGGGACAGCCTCGCGGAGATGGCCGGCAAGGTTGCCAGGGCGACGGCGGCGGGCGACGACTACCGCGCGCAGATCGGCATCGACGCCATCCGGCAGAAGATGCCGTCCTTCAGCGGCCTGGCCGAGGAGGCGTCGCGGGCGCTGCTCGCGCAGATGCGTGCGGGCCGGCTGGCCGAGTGTGTCGTAGGCGCGATGCACGCCTTCCCGGGCGTGTACGACCTGCAGGTGACCCCGTTCCCCTCCTCCCACGCGCTACCCTTCCCCCCTTACTGCATACCCCCCCTCCCGCCGCCCCCGCCCCCTCTTGCAGATGCTTGGCGCGGAGGGCCTAGGCCTGATTGCACTCGTGGAGGGAACGGAGGACTACGTGGTCGGCGCGGGCGCACTCGCGGCGATCGTCCGCGTGATGCGCCTCACCGCGTCGAGAGACGGCGCCACGGCCGAGACGAAGGCCGGTAGCGAGTTGACGGGCACGGGCGCTGGGCTGATCGGAGGCGTCTCAAACATTCTCTACGGCAGCTCCCCGGCCGGCCTCGCCCGCAAGATGCTCGGCCTCGAAGCGGGCGTCGTCGAGGCGGCCGTCGAGCTGATGCGCGCCGAGGCCGCGGCGGAGGACACGCAGGAGGAGGGCATGCGCTTGCTCACGGCGATCATCGCCGCCGACGCCGGCCCAATACACACCAACGACCAAGCGGCTCGTGACAGGAGGCAGCGGATCCTCTTGTCTGGCGGCATCGCCGCCTCGATGGCCGCACTGCACCGCTTCCCGCTCCTGCGCACCCGTCCAAGTCGACGCCACCACGGCCGCCAATACCCGCGCTACCTGATCGAAATGATTGTTGTCATCCCGTCCTTTCTATACAGCGCGTTGGCAAGCGGGTTCCAGCTGCCGTGGCTCAACGACGTGAATGAGCAACACCGCATGACCGCGCTGAAGATTGTGGCCGAGGGCATGGCGCGCGGCATGATGATGGGCTGAAGCTGAGCGAAAAGCCACGATGCGTGGTTGGCGTAGTGTAGCGTGTGCTCTGTCGTGTGTGTGTCCATGAATTAAGTGTGTTGTGCGTGCGCATTTCGCGATGGTCGAGTGTGGGTCTCTCTCTGACTCGCGGGTGGGGAGAGATAGTGGGTAGGCGCGAAGGGGAAGAAGAAGGATTAACGTAATGTGATTATGGTTTATGCATATTATGCTCCAATGAGCGGGGCGAGGCCTCGCGCGAGGGCAGAAAAAAGTCAAATGCCCGCAGGCGCACTTGCACTTGGAGGGCTCTATCTAGATAGCGATGCGAACACGCGCTCCAAGTTCTACAAGTGAACCGCGCCATTCTCGATCGCCGTGCAAAGCTCGCTTCCGAGCTCTCTCACGCCGCGCGTAGGGCCCTTACTTAGGGCATATAGAGAACACAGTTGTCGGCCCTTTTCTCCCACGTAAGCTAATGTTAGTGCCAGTGCGCGCCAGTCCCGTGCCTAGTGTCGTGCGAGGGGGTTGTGAGTTCTCCCAAGTAAGCGCGTACAAGTTCCAAACCTGCAAAGCGCGTGAGCGCGTAGAGCTGCAACTGCACCGTGACCGACGTGGGATGGCGGCCGGGGCGCCAGCACTACAAGCAGAGGAGGCCGAGGTGGTAAATCTTGGCTCGCTGCCCATTGACCTGCAGGAGCGCCTCCTGCTGCACGCCGTGCTTGACACGGAAGAGGGCATGGCGGAAGTCAGGACGAGCATGCACGCAGCCGTGGGCTATCTCTGCAGTTTGAGCCGTGTTTGTAGGGGTTGGCGGCAGTTGCTCCCACAGCAACAGCTCGCGGAGCGGATCCTCCGCCGCTTTCGCCCAACGGAAGTGGCGTTGGGACCGGTCTTCCAGCTCATGAGCTGGACGACACGGCTGCAACTCATGCGGGAGCTCCCGTTTGATACACCATGGTCTCCAAGCCATTGGTCACTGCCCGCCCAAACGCCGAGGATGGGCGGGGGGGAGGCGGACATGGTCCTCCGCTCACGATATGACTTCATCCTCCAAGCCAACAAGCTGCCGCCAAGGGTTGACGAAGACGAATCACGCGCTTTCGAGCTTAAAGATTTGAAAGACTCCACTCGGCTCTCGGGTCTACAGTGCTACCCAGAGATTTGAGACCAGAGATTTGACACTTGAGACCTCAGTCACTCGGCCTCCGGTGGGAGACTTTGAGATTAGAGACCAGAGACTTGGAGAATGAGATTTCCCACACCAAGAGGAATCTGCGGGGCAGCATTGCAGGTGCGCGCACGCTCCGTGGAAGAGGGAGATCTGACGACCCTGGAATTTGTTCTCAATGAGACATCGACGATCAGCTTCGAGCCGACGCAATTTCGAGTGTTGGCCAGGCGACGCAGGGACAGTGCTTTTGCCGTGTGCTTTGTTCTTTGCAGTGTCGAGTGGGAGGTTGACGAGGACGACGGGGATACGGTAGTCGATTGTGGGTGCGTGCGCTGCTCATTCGACAGGCTCGAGCGGGAGTCCTCATTCGACGAAAACTGTTTCCAATTCGACCTCCACCTGGGGACGAGGCCGGATGGCGTATGCTTTGGCGGGGTTGCCCTCCCAACTGGCTCGTTGAGGCTGAGGGTGCTGCCGCTGTACAACCCAAGCATGTTCTTTCCCGCGCAGTGGCTGCTCTCAGGACTTGCCGACGCGACGACAAATTGGGCTTAACCCGGGTCGAGCGCGTCGTCAATATTCGGCGTCCCGTGTGCCCTGTGAGTGCGTGGGCCATTAGCGTGCCAAACAAATCTCTATCCGCAATATATTGCCAAATACATTGGCTCCGGGTTCGGGTCGCGGGTTGCCCTTACTTTATTGGCTCTTATATTGGGGACGTGTGTGTATAGGAGAAAAGAGAAACTGCTAACTGGGATGCCTCATATCCATGATCTGTTAGGACGGTACTGCCACGGTGACATAGTCGGGGGCAAGCAGTGGGGGATCTTGCAGCTGCGCACACGAGGCGTACCATGAACACTCCGCGAAGCCTGGGGTGGCTGAGAAGGAAACGAATCGGCAGTGGCGGCATTTACGGCAAGCGGCAATGCAGCCCTGCAAGTTGCGAGGGGGTGCCACCGCCGTGTCCAGCTCCAGCTCGGTGCCTGGCCGCTCGAAGAGGCCCATCGCGCCGGAACGGTGCCTGCGACAACTGCGACCGTAGGAGGTGACGCCGCAGAAGCCTCGTCGCGCGCCTGCCGGAGGCTGCAGGTTGCGGAACGCGAGCACCGCGACCTCCGTAAGGTCCTCGGGTCGAGGTGTCCGAAATTGGGCCACCTCCCTAGGGGCTGCGCGCATACTGGCACGGGCGCGCAGCTCGCGCATGGCAGCCGCACGCTCGCGCCGGAGGACCACCGTAGTCTCTACCACAGCGGGTGGAAACCACGAGGGGAGCTGCGGACGAGGCTCGAGCGGGAGTCCTCGAGGCGCGCATTCCGCCCCGCCCGACTTGAGCGATCCGTGCAGCTCAATAGCCCGAAAGCAGAGCGCCGCGATCGTGTAGTCGAAGGCCAGGCCGCCAGGTGCCCATGACAGGGCTTGCCCCGCCGCCCGCAGCGCGACACGCATGGCGCTCACCTGGCCGGGTCCAACAGCTGCGAGTAGTGCAGGCAGGTCAGAGGCGAGCTGCAGCCGGTCGACGCGGAGAGAGAAGTTCGGGTAAGACGGGAGCAGATCTTCGAGCGGCTGCATCACGAACGGCTGAAAGATGAGCGGCAGGCAGCCCAACATGGCCATTGCGGCCGTACGTAGACCCCAGCCCACGCCGCTAGAAGCAAGGCAGAATTTTGCGTCGAGCCATGCCGACTGATTCACTCCGTGCTTGTGGATTGCAATGCCGTGGGTCGCCGGGCCGGATCCGTACAGCTCGTACAGACGCTGTCGCACGCCTTGCGAGTAGCCACGCTCGCCCCTGCCCTCGCCATGTCGATTGCGCCAGGCCCATATTCCCCCTGCGTGAAGCAGTTCATGCCGCCAGCTTCGATTGATGTCCACCATCGGTGCCGGCGCCGGTGCAGCATTGGCTCCGTTCGCCTTTCGCTGTCCAAACCAGTCTGCTAGCTTGTGGCTGCAATCGCCAAACACACCGCCGCCGCCGCCGCCGCCGCCGCCTCCGCCGCCGCCGCACCCCGCAAATGGTGGCACCACGATGTCCTTGTGAGGCGAGAAGCACCACCGCCCCCTGCGCAACTCACGCTCGATTGCCTCTTGACTGCCGAGGTCGCCGCGCCCGTCTGCGCTCGGCCGCATCGCCGTGCGAGGTCCCAGCAGACCCCAGTGAGAAAGCAGTATGGGTGACGTACCCGCCTCGCCCAACGCACAGCCGCCAGTGTCGTGAGTGAGGAAGAAGACGTGGTCGCGCCCGCCGGAGCGGTTCCAGTAGGGGTATGCTGTCCTCACCCAGTGCTGGAGCAGCCGCACCAGGGCGCGTGGGCACCTACTCCTCATCACGTGGTAGCTCAGCGTCGGCACGTAGAAGAGGTCTGCCTGCTCCGGATCGAGCGTGCGACTGCCGCTCCGCAGCAGCCGCTCAAGGAAGTGATCCTCCGTCGAATACAGATGGAAGATGTTTTCGTCCTGTAGGGACTTTACGAGTTGCCCTAGCTCCGGTGGCACGGAGTACACAAAGATGGAGACGCCGCGGCGAGGCGGCGCTGCGGGCGTTGGCAGCGGCGAGAGCTCCTCATGTTCATGTCGGCCCGGCACTGCAGTCGAGGATGCTGATTCCGGAGACGAAAGCGATGGTTTAGGAATGGATTCGAGAGGGGCTGGGTGCGCGCAGTCGAGCCCACCAAAGCCCTCGTAGCAGGCGCATATGTCGAGGAGGCAGACCCCATTTCCGCTGCAGCAGGCTGCGGGGTCTCCCAGGCAGCCGGGACAGTTGCGGCGGCGATGCTCTCGAGGCGGAGCGCGCGCGAGCCTTTGGTGCCAGTCAATGGCGCCCTGCGAGAGCTGCTGCCGAACGCTCCTCACGGGGGGGCAGTGCACGTCGAGGTCCCTCTTCTCCTCGGGCGGGATGCCGCAGCCCGACGCCGCCCCAACCTGAAGTCGCGGCACAACATCGTCGAGGAAGAGGGTCGAGACCTGAACGAATGCGAGCTCGGATGGCTTCTTGGGTCGAGGGGAGCATCCCCTCCCATAGGCTGTTAGGATCATCCGGCCGCTGTGATTCGTGACGATCGACCTAGCGCGCCGGCATGCCGTGGCGTTGAGATGAACGCGCCGCCGCACGAGTTGGCGTGCCAGGGCCTGAGTCGCAACGTCGCCGCGGATCAAATTAGCAGCCTCATCGCAGGCCGACTGCATTTTGTGCTCTCTTTGAGCCGGCTTGCTTGCCGCCTCGGGTACATGAAACTTAGGAGTGTCTCATCAGCAGGAACAGTGAATCACCTTGCGTGAGGAATGGACTCTTCTCTTCTTCGCTCCCATAGTGTCCAGTCCGAGCCTGGCTGTTCTTCGCCTTCCTATACCTGTTTAGTGCCAGTGCGCGCCAGTCCCGTGCCCTAGAAAGAAAGAAAGAAAAGGCGGCAAAAGCAGGGTGGTGGATGGGAGGACGTCCAGTGCCCTTCTCATTCGTTTCTTCTGCGACCGCCTAACTGTAAAATTCTTCTTCTCTCACTGCAAGAACCGCGCCGTCGCGTTGCGCGAACTGCATGAGCGGCCTGGAAAAGATCATCGAGGAGAAGCTTGGCCGCTGGCGGCAGCAGGGCGAGGCGGCCGAGTACTACGCGCTCCGCAACCGCGGGCCTTACAAGCCGACGGTGTCTCACGAGCTCAACCGCTTCGGCGGGCAGATGGGGCCGTATGTGGATGCGCTGCTGGACCTGCAAACGGTGGAGTACATCAACGCGTCTCCCATTGACAACCTCGGCGAGGAGGCGCCCGCCTTCATAGCGACGATGTGCCCAAAGCGCTCGACGTTCGAGCACTTTTGGATGATGGTGTGGGAGACGGGAGCGCGAGTCATCGTCAACCTGACGCACGAGCGCGACAAGGTGGGCTCGGCGCCGGCGGACAAGCGCGAGCGCTACTGGCCGCCCTTCGACGAGGCGATGGAGCGCGAGTCGCGCGGGTGGGCGGTGCAGGTGCGCACGCTCGGCCACGAGAGCTGCGAGTCGGTGGCGGGGCTGCTGCGGTACGCCGTCGAGCTGCGTGGCTCCGCCTCTGGCGGGCCGCCGCCGTCCCGCGGCGAGCGCACGCGCGTGGTGGTGCTCTACTGGTACTCGCGCTGGCGCGTGACCCTCCCCGCTGCCGCCGCGCGCGCCGCGCGCTCCGCGCTCCCACTGGCGCACCGGAACCGGTCACCGAGGGTCGCGGATGTCAAATGTCCATGTGCTGCGAGCATGGAGGACGGGCCCACACGCACACACGCTGCACACGATTGGCTCGAGAGCCGACACGAGGCACGCTGTCACCGGCCGTCTCACTGGGCCCCGGCGGACCTAGGCTCGACTTTCCCGCCTCGTCGTCGATTGGCACCCGCCCCTTCTATGCCAACGCGGAGAATGTGCTGCACCTGGCGGTGCACCTGCAGCAGCTGCTCGCGCGCGGTGACTCCCCAGCTTGCGCGCCCGCCACTGCCGCGACACCTCCGTGAAGCCTCTCCCGGAACCGGCCGCTAGGCGAGCCCCACTGGTGCGTCTGCCACTGCTCGGTCGGCGTCGGGAGGACGGGCACGCTCCCTCTATGAACGGCGTCTCTTCACAGCTGTAGCTGTGAACAGGCCGGCGTCGGGAGGACGGGCACGCTCATCGCGCTCCTCCGAGTCCTGCAGCGGCTGCCGGCGTTGCAGGTGGCGCACGCGAGCGTCGCAGTGACCGTCCCATCGCGGCACACCGAGAGCAGCCGCCCGCCCTGCTACCCCTCTCGCCGCCGCCGCCTCGCCGCCGCCTCGCCGCCGCCGCCTCGCCGCCGCCTCGCCGCTGCCGCCTCGCCGCCGCCTCGCCGCCGCCTCGCCGCCGCCGCCTCACCGCCGCCCCACCGCCGCCTCGCCCGCCCACCTGTAGAGCGAGGCGCAGCTCGACGGCTTCGTGCGCACGACCATCGAGCGGATGCGCGAGAGGCGTCTCTGGATGGTGAGAGAGGGAGGAGGCGGCTCGGGCGAGGCCACACGGGCCTCCTCATCGCCAGGTCCACGTGGCTCGTAGGTCAAGACGGACGTGGAGTACGCGCTGCTCTACGCCGCCACACTGCTCTGGCTCCGCCGCTCCCGCGACAAGGTGCGCGGCGCACTGACCGCACGAGCCGCCGCCCAGGCCCCGACCCGCCCATCTTCGCCCCTCCCAGCCCGCGCGACGCCGCCCCGCCGCGCGTCAGGAGTTTGAGCTGAGTTGGCAAGGCGACGGCGGCGACGACTGGGGCGCGACCGCCTTGGCGATCAGCGAGGCGTTGGGGCCGGCAGCCTCCCATCTCCAGGAGGTGCGGGAGAGTGGGCGGAAACGGGGCTCCTCCGCGACTGGTCCCCACGAGGGCTCCGGGGAGGAGAGTGGTGGCGATAACGCGATTGACAATGCGAGGGACGTGCAGAGATACCGGGATGCATCACTGCCTGCGCCGCCCTGATCGGCCAGTCACGGCCACACGAGTCCCGTGCTGGTCACAGTAAATTCGTTAGAGATGCGTGCACGCACCTTTCGGTTTTTTTTCGCGCACGGGTTTTTGAATGCAGATTCCCGTCCGAGGTGTACTGTGCGCGGGGCGCGGCCCTGGCGCGCTGCGGCCGGTGCGCGCAGCGCGGCACCGGCAGCGGCTCTGATTCAGTTGAGAGGAAGAGGTCCTCGTGGCGAGCTCATCTGCTGAAGAGGGCCAGCGCAGAGCCAATCTTTGCCTCCGCCGCCTCCTCCTCCTCCTCCGCCTCCGACTTGGCCTCCTTGGCAGCCGCGAGCTCGGCCTCCACCTTGGCCTTTGCTGCCGCCCTCACCGCGCCAGCGTCCTCGTACATGAATTCGAACACCGGCACGATCTCGAGCATTACCGGCCCGTGCTCCGCGCCGCCCATCACGACCACCGGCGCCGGTGCCGTGCCCTCGGCATGCTCCTCCATCACCCGCTTTGCCCAGCGGCTTGTGGCACCCTCGCCGTCGTTCTCCTGCGATGCGCGGTTAGCTAAGTACTTGAGCCTGCCGCGGAAGGTGCCATACCTCTCCGTGAAGGCATCGAGCGACCACTCTGGCGAGTCCAGCGCGTGGATGGAGATTGAGTGCTGGTGCGCGAGCCGCAACAAGTCTACGAGCGACTGGTTGAAGGCATCGGACCACCCGTTCGACATGACCGCCTTCTTGACTTGCGCGAGGACCGCCTCGTCGTCGACCACTCCTGGCGTGGCAAACGCCGCCCGCACGGCCGCCAGCTGCTCCTCGTAGAAGAACTCGAGCCAGAGGGATCCATTGGCGTACTTATGCAAGTCGGCCGCGAGCCGAGCCTGCTGTACCGTCGCCGTGTGATCGTCCCGCACAAAGTAGAAGCCAGAGCTTGGTCCAGGCTGCTCCGGTTGCTCTGCACTGGTGGCAGGCTGGCGTGATGCGCAGACGCCCATGCGCTGGCGAGTGGAGGGCACGCACGCTCCCTCGACGGGCAGCTGCTCTGTCCTCTCTTTGCAGTTCGTGTGTTTTTTTTTTGAGAGCGCCTTCGTTGTTAATAGTACAAACCCAATGGTCCTCCGCTTGTGTTTTTTAGCTTACTGGGAGAAAAGAGAGAGGGGGTTGTGTTCTCTAGGCCCCTAAGGGCCCTACGCGCGGCGTGAGAGCTCGGAAGCGAGCTTTCTCTCTCTGTCTGTGTTTGTTTCGTCCGCGTACATACACACACACAGCGGCAGCTTCTTGTACGGATTCACGGCCAGCAGGAGGCGGCCGCTGCGCGTGTAGATGTTGCCGGCCTTGTAGCGCTCCTCGGTGTTGTCCAGGAGCGCCTTGTCTGTGGCGCTCTTTAGCGACGAGAGCTCGCTGCAGCCAGGGCCCCAGTCCTCGTATGCCGCTTTGGGCATCGCGCTGCACTCTGGCGCGCAGCTGTGCGCCGACGGGGGGTCCTGGCACAAAGGCGGTGCGCGCCGGGGCTTCCTCGCCGCCGTGGGTGGGAAGAATTCTTTGCGGCAACCTCGGAATGTGGAAGTAATTCTGGCCAGCACGCCTTTCTTCGAATCGGCCTACCGCAACGTCCAACGAGGGAGAGCAGCTCCTGTCTGCAGAGAGAGGGGGGGGGGGGAGAGCGGAGGGAGGGCGGGAGGGAGGGACGGAGAGAGAGAGAGAGAGAGAGAGAGAGAGAGAGAGAGAGAGAGAGAGAGAGAGAGAGAGAGAGAGAGAGAGAGAGAGAGATCCCGACCCCCCCCAGCAGCAGAGCGCACTGGACCCAGCTCCCGCCTCTTCGCCGCCGCCGCCCCCTCACCCCTCGGCTCGTGTTTGAGCGTACGCTCGAGGCGGATGTGCCTGGCTGGCAGTAGGAGGATACGCCGTGAGACCACTGTTTTGGTGCGGACCAGCACTGTCTGGTCCGTGGTCCGCGAGTTGACCCGCCGGCGGTCAGGCAGAGACGCCACCCGCCGGCTACTCGCAACGGTCTGCACGGGCCGACCGCGCCCCCGCCTTGCACTCGCCCACCTTGCATGATGGCCCTGGGAGTCCCCCCGCCATCCCGCCGGCGGGTACACCTCTCTGTGCTCGATCCTCCAGTGCGCCCGCTGGCAGCTCGGGCTGCAGTAGGGCTGGCACCCCGGCGCTGGAGGGCATTCGGCGCAGCGCCCGCACTTCTTGGAAGCTTCCGAGTGGCGCCACTGCGGTGAGCGCGGCATTGACGCTACCTCGTCCAGCCCGAGCCTTGAATGCCACCACAGCGGCGCGCCCCCCACCCACCGTCCGTTTTCAACGTGGCCCGGCGGCGCCCCTTCGTAACGGCAGTAAGCGTCCAGGCTGGCGATGTGCGCTCCCTTTGCATCCTTCAGATCTGATCCTGGGAAGTCGTCCTCGAGCGCCGACGTCGCATTTGCAGTGAAGGGGGACGCGTCTCGTGATGCGCGACATGATGGGCCAACGCGGTGCCACGCTGCTTTGTGTGACTTGGCGTGGCGCGTGTGCAGTGAAGGGGACGTCGATCAGTGATACGAGACTGCGACACAATGGCCTGACGCGGCGTCATGCTGCTTTGTGGGCGAGCTGTCTCGTTGTAGCAGCTTGAAAGCAGCTGCACGCGACCCGCGGAGATGAGCTCGTTGACGATACTGCGCTCCTGCGACTCGCTGTGGGGCGAACGCCGCAAACCATCGTCAAAGTAGTGCACGCCCGCGCGGGAGTTGGCGAAAAAGTCGAAGCCGTGAATGTGCACCAACGGAAACGTCTGCAAAAAATGCCAAAGCACTGTCAGGCCGCTCGAGGGCACAGCATCCAGCCGTTGCGAAAGGCTTCGCGCCGTCGCATCGGACACAAACGCAACCCGCTCACGCTGCGAGTGTGTCAGTTGAGCCTCGGCGGCCAGACGCATGTAGACGTAGCTGCAGTTCCCGCGGCGGTGCGGAAGCGCAACAAGGACCGGCGCGGTACGCTCAGGATAGGCTGCAATGAGCTCAGCCGCGAAAGCACTGCCGACTACCCAGCGCTGGATTTCCCTCCCGACGTGGGACTCGAAGCCGTAAGAGATCTGGTACTCATTGAAGCGGACCACGTGCGGAAAGCTATCGATGGCCCAGCCCAGGAGGTTGTTTAAGACCGACGGGCCATTGCCAACCAACAGGATGCGGCGAGCGCGCGGGTCGCATCGATCTCGTCCAGTGGTGACATTCGAGCGTTGAGCGCCGCTCCCTTCGCCGCCATCGCCACCGCTGTCGCCATCACTGCCGTCACGGCCGTCGCCATCCTGTGCAGTCGTGCGGGCTTGCACGGCATCAAGCGCAGTCGTCGAGGGAGTCGGCGCCACGACTCGGTTCACGACTCTGGAGCACTCAGCCGTCGAGGTTTCATTGACTAAATGCGCGGTGCTGTCACTAAAGCTGCGGCAGGCGGGAACCTTCCAGGTGGCCAGCATGGCGCCCATCGCCGCTTCGCGCCCCTGCGATTGCATGCGCTCATATTCAACCAGGAGAAACTGCCCAGCGTGGCGAGCGACGGTCTGGCGCCACGTGCTGTCAAACACGACGAGTGCCGCAAAGCGAGCGGCGGCCCGTTCGATGATATTCGAGAGCTGCCAGCCTTCCCGCAGGCGGCGCTCGCACCAGCCGTGCAGTGAAGCGATAGGCTTGCGCAACAGCACGAGGACTGGCCTTCTCGCTGCCAGCAGCGCCCGGATGCTCGGCTGCGTGGGGAGCACATGGTCCTTGAAGATGGTGCTTTGGTTCAGCGAGTATGACCTCAGCAGCGCTGCTGGTAGTTGGCAGATGTGCGAATGCTCGTCGGCGAGAACCTTCCAGATTGGGTTGATCTGCGACAGACTCTGCTTTTGACATGCCCTTCTTGAAGATATCGAGGACTCGGCGTGCAGGCAGCTCATGACGCCGAGCGATTCCATCGTCGACGAAGAAGATGACTGTGGCATGGCAACCAGTATATAGCCCTGGACCATGCAGATGCACAGCATCGCGCGTCAGGCGGTCCAGGATACTGACGTGTGCACGCGGGGGCGGCGATTACGAAAAACTCGCGCAAAGGCGAAAAAAATAATATATAATCATAAATATAACCTGTGGCAGATGAAGCAAAGCAGCTGTTGACCGCTGTATTTCCATTCTTAAAACGAATCGTTCCCTACCTACCTTAAGGTACGTACGCCGGAGAGAGAGAGGTCCCTCAGTTCCCGTTCCCAGGCCTCCTCTCCATCCAGCTGCGACCGTGGATCTTCTCAATAAAGTCTGTGAACTCATAGACAGCGCGCAGCGCAATCGCAGGTATTTTCTTCTCAATGACCATGAGAAGAGGGAATACGAAAAGGCAGACGCCCGAGCAAGGGTGGGTGGGGGACGGCTAACACCAGTCAAAATCCCTGTGTGGTGGCGGTGCGCCATTCTCCCGCCCTCCCTTGGGTTCTACATGTATCTTCTGAGAGTCAGAGAGAGAGAGAGAGAGAGAGAGAGAGATAGTGAGCAGAGTGATATAGATGAACATCTTGTTCATTGCTCTCTGTACTCTCTTACTTTCTACCTGTAAGATTTTTTTTCTTTTGTACCGCTATCATTCTTTTTTGTTTCACTCAGTCTTTTTCCCTTTCTGTTATTTTTCCTTGTCTTCATGTTTTCTTTTCTTTCTTTTTTTTATGTTTTTTATTTTTTTATT